GGGAGATGGAGGGAATTTTTGAGGAAATTTTTAAATGTTGATGAAGATAGGGAAGCTGTGATTTCGTGTATAGGGCAAGGGTGAATTTAAAAATCTTGTAGGAGGAGGAAGGCCAGTTGTGAGTGTGGGGGAAGTTCGTGAGGCAGTAGGGAAAATGAAAGGGGGGTAAGGCAGCCGGGTTGATGGGATAAAGATAGAAATGTTAAAAAGCAGGTGGGGATATGTTTTTTGGGGTGGTTGGTGCAATTATTTAATAAATGTATGGAAGAGTTTAAAGGGATAGGGATTGGCAGAGAGCATGCTTTGTTATTTGTATAAAGGCAAAGGGGACAAAAGAGAGTGCAAAAATTATAGGGGGATAAGTCTTCTGAGTATACCTGGTAAAGGTATGGTAGAGTTATTATTGAAAGAATTAAGAGTAAGACGGAAAAATAGGATAGCAGATGACAAGGAGGCTTTAGGGGAAAAGGTAGGGGTGTTTTGGGGCCAGGTGTTTAAAAGTGAAAAAATATAAGTGAATAGTATTTAGATAAGGCTAAAGAGGTCTTTGTGGCATTTATGGATTTGGAAAAGGCGTATGACAAAGGGTGGATAGGGGGGCAATGTGGTAGATGTTGCAGGTGTATTGTGTAGGAGGTAGGTTACTGAAAGCAGTGAAGATTTTTTATGAGGATAGTGAGGCTTAAGTTAGAGTATGTTTGGAAAGAGGGAAATTATTTCCCAGTAAAGTAGGCCCTTTGACAAGGATGTGTGATGTCACCGTGGTTGTTTAATATATTTAGATGGGGTTGTAAGAGAAGTAAATGCGAGGGTCTTGGCAAGAGGCGTGGAGTTAAAAGATAAAGAATCACACATAAAGTGGGAGTTGTCACAGTTGTCTTTGCTGATGACACCCTTTCTCTTGGGAGACTCTGAAGAGAAGTTGCAGAAATTGGTGGATGAAATTTTGGGTGGGTGTGCGAAAGAAGAAAATTAAAAAGTGAATACAGGAAAGAGTAAGGTTATGAGGATAAAAATATTAGGTGATGAAAGATTGGATATCAGATTGGAGGGAGAGAGTAAAGGAGGAGGTGAATGTATTCAGATATTTGGGAGTGGGCGTGTCAGCGGATGGATCTATGAAAGATGAGGTGAATCATAGAATGGATGAGGGGAAAAAGGGGGTTGGGGTGGTGCACTTAGGAGTCTGTGGGGGACAAAGAACTTTGTCCTTGGAGGCAAAGAGGGGAATGTATGAGAATATAGTTTTACCAACGCTCTTATATGGGTGTAAAACATGGGTGGATGAATGTTGCAGCGAGGAGAAAGGCTGGAGGCAGTGGAGATTTACATGTCTGAGGGCATTTTGTGGTGTGAATATTTAAAGCAGAGATTCGTTAGTTTGGAAGTTAGGAGGAGGTGCGGGATTACCAAAACTGTTGTCCAGAGGGCTGAGGAAGGGTTGTTGAGGTGGTTCGGACATGTAGAGAGAATGGAGCGAAACAGAGTGACTTCAAGAGTGTATCAGTCTGTAGTGGAAGGAAGGCGGGGTAGGGGTCGGCCCTAGGAAGGTTGGAGGGAGGGGGTAAAGGAGGTTTTGTGTGCGAGGGGCTTGGACTTCCAGCAGGCATGAGTGTGCGTGTTTGATAGGAGTGAATGGAGACAAATGGTTTTTAATACTTGACGTGCTGTTGGAGTGTGAGCAAAGTAACATTTATGAAGGGGTTCAGGAAAACCGGCAGGCCGGACTTGAGTCCTGGAGATGGGAAGTAGTGCCTGCACTCTGAAGGAGGGGTGTTAATGTTGCAGTTTAAAAACTGTAGTGTAAAGTACCCGTCTGGCAAGACAGTGATGGAGTGAATGATGGTGAAAGTTTTTCTTTTTCGGGCCACCCTGCCTTGGTGGGAATCGACATTGGGAAGACAAAACACAGGGGTACACCAACAAGGGATATACCAACAAGTGTTGGATGAAATACACACAACTGATGAGGAGGTGAAGAAGCTAATAAGGAACCTTGATACCTCAAAGGCGATGGGACCAGACATCTCTGTGGGTCCTTAGAGAGGAAGCAGAGACACTGTGTGTGCCACTAACCACAATCTTCAACACATCCCTTGAAACTGGGCAACTACCTGAGGTATGGAATATGGCAAATGTAGTCCCAATCTTTAAGAAAGGAGACAAAAATTGAGGCACTAAGCTGTAGACCAGTGTCACTGACGTGTATAGTATGCAAAGTCATGGAGAAGATTATCAGGAGGAGAGTGGTGGAGCACCTGGAATGGAACAAGATTATAAACGACAGCCAGCACGGATTCATGGAAGGCAAATCCTGTGTCACAAACCTACTGGAGTCTTGTGACAAGGTAACTGAAGTAAGACATGAGAGGGAGGGTTGGGTTGATTTCCTTTTCTTGCACTGCAAGAAGGCCATCGACACAGTTCCTCAAAATATATTAGTACAGAAGCTAGAGGATCAGGCATGTTTAACAGAAAGGGCACTGCAGTGGATCAAAGAATACCTGACAGGAAGGCAACAGCAAGCCATGGTACGTGATGAGGTATCACAATGGGCGCCTGTGACGAGTGGGATCCCACAGGGGTCAGTCCTGGGACCTGTGCTATATTTGGTATATGTGAATGACAAGAGGTAAGGGATAGACTCTGAAGTGTCCCTATTTGCAGATGATGTGAAGTTAATGAGGAGAATTAAATCAGATGCAGGTAAGACAGAACTACAAAGAGACTTACCTGGAGTTTACCTGGAGAGAGTTCCGGGGGTCAACGCCCCCGCGGCCCGGTCTGTGACCAGGCCTCCTTAGGTCAGTGTCCCAGGATGCGACCCACACAAGTCGACTAACACCCAGGTACCCATTTTACTGATGGGGAACATAGACAACAGGTGGAAAGAAACTCGTCCAATGCTTCTACTCTGGCTGGGAATCGAACCCAGGCCCTCACCGTGTGAAGCGAGAGCGTTAACCACCAGGCCACCAGAGCCCCTGGACAGATAGGACGCATGGTCCAGCAACTGGCTCCTAAAATTTAACTCTGCCAAATGCAAAGTCATGAAGATCGGTGAAGGGCAAAGAAGACCGCAGGCGGAGTATAGGCTAGGTGGCCAAAGACTGCAAACCTCACTCAAGGGGCGAGTATAATAGGGGTGTGTATAATACCGAGCACGTCTCCGGAAGCACACATTAACCAGATAACTGCTGCAGCATGTGGGCGCCTGGCAAACGTGAGAATAGCGTTCCGATACCTCAGTAAGGAATCGTTCAGGACTCTGTACACTGTACGTCAGACCCATACTGCAGTACGCAGCACCAGTTTGGAACCCACACCTGGTCAAGCACGTCAAGAAATTAGAGAAAGTGCAAATGTTTGCAACAAGGCTGGTTCAAGAGCTGAGGGGATTGTCCTACGACGAGAGGGAAATCGGCCAGACAACACTGAAGGACAGGAGGGTCAAAGGAGACATGATAACGACATACAAAATACTGCGTGGAATAGATAAGGTGGACGGAGACAGGATGTTTCAGAGATGGGAAACAGAAACAAGGGGCCACAATTGGAAGTTGAAGTCTCAGATGAGTTAAATGGATCTTAGGAAGTATTTCTTCAGCCACAGAGTTGTTAGGAAGTGGAATAACTGGAAAAGGGGATGTATTTGGGGGCAGGAGTCATACATAGTTTTTAAGACTAGATATGATAAAATGATGGACTGACTGGTGTCAATCTCCCTTAATCTTAGTTCAAGAAAGTTAAGTTGAAGAGATGAAGGTAGAGGCTGGCTCTGTTTGTGATAATGGTGCCAGGTTTACCCTCTCTTAAGGGGCTAAAGAAGATGTTGAAATGTGGGCCAAGATGTTTTTGGTGTTTTTTTTGTGTCCTAGTTTTTGTCTGCTGTTGTGCTAGTGTAAGTGTCATGGTAGGCTCTGTGTTTAGCATTTAAGACAGCAAGAGGATAATCAGGTATGTTGGCGTAATTGAAGAGTTAAATCAGGAATGTTTATGTTAGAATTTGGCTAGCATAATATAGTACGGTTGTTCATAATAATGGCAATGCCATTATAGGGATCTTTACTAGACTGGCCAGAAGTGTAGCCCCAGTGATCTGATATATCTGTGGCCCCTCTATAAACATATACATCCTGAAGTCTACTCAACAGTCTTTTAACTACCAATACATAATCCAACAAACTACTGTCATTTCGCCCTACATCATATCTTGTATACTTATTTATCCTCTTTTTCTTAAAATATGTATTACCTATAACTAAACCCCTTTCTATACAAAGTTCAATCAAAGGGCTCCCATTATCATTTACACCTGGCACCCCAAACTTACCTACCGCACCCTCTCTAAAAGTTTCTCCTACTTTAGCATTCAGGTCCCCTACCACAGTTACTCTCTCACTTGGTTCAAAGGTTCCTATACATTCACTTAACATCTCCCAAAATCTCTCTCTCTCTTCTACATTCCTCTCTTCTCCAGGTGCATTCACGCATAAACTTACTGGAATAAATCCCGTAGATGCCATTAAAGCTCCTGGGAAATGGAAATGGGAGGTAATCAGGTTGGTGTCCCGTAGCTCGGTTGGTAGCACACTCAGCTTACACACTGAGTTTCTAGGGTTCGATCCCCGGCACGGGTGAAAACGTTGGGCGCGTTTCCTTATACCTGCCGTCCCTGTTCACTTAGAAGTACGTAGGTACCTGAGTGTTAGTCACCTTACATCTGCTGTCCCTGTTCACTCAGCAGTAAGTAGGTACATGACTGTTAATCACCTTGCATCTGCTGTCCCTGTTCTCCTAGCAGTGGGTAGGTACCCTCGTGTTAGTCAACTGGTGTGGGTGGCATCCTGGGAGGTGGTGCCTCCAATAGGAAGGATAACAGCTCTTATCATGAAAAAATGATTTGTTAAAAAATGAGCATTACTCCAATTCCCCAGCATCAAAACACCTCTCCTTGAAAGGAATGTAAATACTAAAAAAAAAAAAAAAATTAAACCTACTTGCAACAAGTTGCCAGATAACATTGAGAATTGCAATGTTAATAGACATAGGCAGATGACCTGCCTTGCCATCATATTTCCGGAAATCGTTGACCAGCATCTGTGCCTCCTCCTGTATGGCAGCTTCCAGGAAAGACTTGCCCATACCCAGGTCCCTCAAGTTACGCAGCAAGAACCGTCGTGCATTTTGCCACTGTTCTCCATTGGTCAATATTACACCTGGTTGTAGGGAGAAAAATAGTCATTGGTCAATATTACACCTGGTTGTAGGGAGAAAAATAGTCATTGGTCAATATTACACCTGGTTGTAGGGAGAAAAATAGTCATTGGTCAATATTACAAACCCGGTTGTAGGGGGAAAAATAGTCATTGGTCAATATTACACCTGGTTGTAGGGAGAAAAATAGTCATTGGTCAATATTACTCCTGGTTGTAGAGAGAAAAATACAATCATTGGTGAATATTACACCTAGTTGTAGGGAGAATAATAGTGTCAATATTATACCTGGTTGTAGGGAGAATAATAGTGTCAATATTACACCTGGTTGTAGGGAGAATAATAGTGTCAATATTACACCTGGTTGTAGGTAGAATAATAGTGTCAATATTACACCTGGTTGTAGGGAGAATAATAGTGTCAATATTACACCTGGTTGGTAGGGGGAATAATAGTGTCAATATTACACCTGGGTTTTAGGGAGAATAATAGTGTCAATATTACACCTGGTTGTAGGGAGAATAATAGTGTCAATATTACACCTGGTTGTAGGGAGAATAATAGTGTCAATATTACACCTGGTTGTAGGGAGAATAATAGTGTCAATATTACACCTGGTTGTAGGGAGAATTTTAGTGTCAATATTACACCCGGTTTTTAGGGAGAATAATATGTCAATATTACACCCGGTTGTAGGGAGAATAATAGTGTCAATATTACACCTGGTTGTAGGGAGAATAATAGTGTCAATATTACACCTGGTTGTAGGAAAAAAAATGCAATTATTGGTCAATATTACTTCTGGTTGTAGGGAGCATAATACAGTAGTCAATATTACATCTAGTTGTAGGGTGAATAATACAATCATTGGTCAATGTCACTCCTGAGTTGCAAAAAGAATAATTCAGTGTTGTACTGTGATTGTGAAGGCTACAGTGTCACTGTATACAATGTTGTACTGTGTGAAGGCTACAGTGTCACTGTATACAATGTTGTACTGTGTGAAGGCTACAGTGTCACTGTATACAATGTTGTACTGTGTGAAGGCTACAGTGTCACTGTTTACAATGTTGTACTGTGATTGTGAAGGTTACAGTGTCACTGTATACAATATTGTACTGTGATTGTGAAGGCTACAGTGTCACTGTATACAATGTTGTACTGTGTGAAGGCTACAGTGTCACTGTATACAATGTTGTACTGTGTGAAGGCTACAGTGTCACTGTATACAATGTTGTACTGTGTGAAGGCTACAGTGTCACTGTTACAATGTTGTACCGTGATTGTGAAGGCTACAGTGTCACTGTATACAATGTTGTACCGTGATTGTGAAGGCTACAGTGTCACTGTATACAATGTTGTACCGTGATTGTGAAGGCTACAGTGTCATTGTATAAATCATAATCAAGTCTAAAAAATTAAGCAATACAACTACTGAAAACTGAGTCTCGTTACTTAACTTACTTCTATATAGCCCGTCAGAGAAATTTTCCCAGACACACCAGTGTTTTGCGCAGTGGTTAGGTAAGGTTAGGCAAGGTTAGGTTAGGTTAGGTAAGGTTAGGTTAGGTAAGGTTAGGTTAGGTTAGGTTAGGTTAGGTTAGGATAGGTTAAGCTAGGTTAGGTTAGTTAAGTTAGGTTAAGTTAGGTTAGGTTAGGTTAAGTTAGGTTAGGTTTGGTTAGGTCAGGTTAGGTTAAGTTAGGCTTGGTTAGGTAAGGTTAGGTTAGGTTAAGTTAGGTAAGGTTAGGTTAGGTTAGGTTAGGTTAAGCTAGGTTAGGTTAGTTAAGTTAGGTTAAGTTAGGTTAGGTTAGGTTAAATTAGGTTAGGTTAAGTTAGGTTAGGTTAGGTTAGGTAAGGGTAGGTTAGGTTAGATTAGGTTAGGTTAGGTTAGGTTAGGTTAGGTTAAGTTAGGTTAGGTTAAGTTAAGTTAGGTTAGGTTTGGTTAGGTCAGGTTAGGTTAAGTTAGGCTTGGTTAGGTAAGGTTAGGTTAGGTTAGGTAAGGTTAGGTTAGGTTAAGTTAGGTTAGGTCAGGTTAGGTTAGGTAAGGTTAGGTTAGGTTAAGTTAGGTTAGGGTAGGTTAGGTTAGGTAAGGTTAAGGTAGGTTAGGTTAGGATAGGTTAAGCTAGGTTAGGTTAGGTTAAGTTAAGTTAGGTTAGGTAAGTTTAGGTTAAGTTAGGTTAGGTAAGGTTAAGTTAGGTTAAGTTAGGTTAGGTTAAGATAGGTTAGGTTACCAGGAGGTTACCTGGAGGTTATTCCGGGGATCAACGCCCCCGCGGCCCGGTCCATGACCAGGTAAGGTTAGGTTAGGTTAGGTTAAGATAGGCTAAGGTAGGTTAGGTTAGGTTAAGTTAGGTTAGGTTATTTTAGGTTAGGTTACATTAGGTTACCTTAAGTTAGGTTAAGTTAGGTTAGGTTAGGTAAGGTTAGGTTAAGTTAGGTAAGGTTAGGTTAGGTTTGTTTAGATTAGGTTAAGTTAGGTTAGGTTAAGTTAGATGAGGTTAGGTCAGGTTAGATTAGGTTAGTTTAGGTTAAGTTAGGTTAAGTTAGGTTAGGTTCATGTTAGGTTAGGTTAGGTTAAGTTAGGTTAGGTTATGTTAGGTTTTGTCAGGTTAAGTAAGGTTAGGTTAGGTTAAGTATGGTTAGGTCAGGTTAGGTTAGGTTAGGTTAGGTTAGGTCAGGTTAGGTTAGGTAAGGTTAGGTTAGGTTAGGTTTGGTTATGTTAGGTTAAGTTATGTTAGGTTAGGTTAGGTTAAATTATGTTAGGTTAAGTTAGGTTAGGTCAGGTTAGGTTTGGTTAGGTTAGGTCAGGTCAGGTCAAGTTAGGTTAGGTTAGGTTTGGTTAGGTTAGGTTAGGTAAGGTTATGTTAGGTTAGGTTAGGTTAGGTTAGGTTAGGTCAGGTCAAGTTAGGTTAGGTTAGTGTAAGTTAGGTTAGGTAAGGTTAGGTTAGGTTAGTTTAGGTTATGTTAGGGTAGGTTAGGTTAGGTTAGGTTAGGTTAGGTCAAGTTAGGTAAGATTCCTCAGGAAACAGGACAAGTGTTTCCTGACAGCACTGGAGCTTTTTGTCATCTAACTGAGACCTTCTACTGGCTTTCCAGTCCATTCCTTTATTTTTTTTATATACAGTGATATGATGATACTGTCAAGTTAAAGGTAAAAGGTGTGTATGAACTGGTATCTGGAGGCTTTTTTGGGGGTCAACGCTCCCGGTCCATTACAAGGCCTTGTGGTGGACCAGGACCTGATCAACCAAGCTGTTATTGGCGAACGAATATTAAAATGTTATACAATACCAACAGGTATTGCAACAGTGTAATGGTTAGGAATCTTTATTCCAAAACGATTCGCCTACACAGTCGTCTTCTTCAGTCGAGTACAGAGTAGTGAGCAGAAGCAGTAGAGATGTAAAGACGATGTCATCAGTCCATCAGCCTTGAAGACGGTAATTATGAGGTAGTCAGTCCTTCAGCCTGGAGACGGGGTTTTCTCAATAGTCTGGAACAGTGTTAAGTTGAAGGAACAGTATGGAGATTTATATACTGTCAAGTGGTGAGACGCAGCTCACTAGTAGAAGATTTATATACTGTCAAGTGGTGAGACGCAGCTCACTAGTAGAAGATTTATATACTGTCAAGTGGTGAGACGCAGCTCACTAGTAGAAGATTTATATATTGTCAAGTGGTGAGACGCAGCTCACTAGTAGAAGATTTATATACTGTCAAGTGGTGAGACGCAGCTCACTAGTAGAAGATTTATATACTGTCAAGTGGTGAGACGCAGCTCACTAGTAGAAGATTTATATACTGGCAAGTGATGAGACGCAGCTCACTAGTAGAAGATTTATATACTGTCAAGTGGTGAGACGCAGCTCACTAGTAGAAGATTTATATACTGTCAAGTGGTGAGACGCAGCTCACTAGTAGAAGATTTATATACTGTCAAGTGGTGAGACGCAGCTCACTAGTAGAAGATTTATATATGGCAAGTGATGAGACGCAGCTCACTAGTAGAAGATTTATATACTGTCAAGTGGTGAGACGCAGCTCACTAGTAGAAGATTTTTATCTGTCAAGTGGTGAGACGCAGCTCACTAGTAGAAGATTTATATACTGTCAAGTGGTGAGACGCAGCTCACTAGTAGAAGATTTATATACTGTCAAGTGGTGAGACGCAGCTCACTAGTAGAAGATTTATATACTGTCAAGTGGTGAGACGCAGCTCACTAGTAGAAGATTTATATACTGTCAAGTGGTGAGACGCAGCTCACTAGTAGAAGATTTATATACTGTCAAGTGGTGAGACGCAGCTCACTAGTAGAAGATTTATATACTGTCAAGTGGTGAGACGCAGCTCACTAGTAGAAGATTTATATACTGTCAAGTGGTGAGACGCAGCTCACTAGTGGAAGAAAGACTGTAATGATCGAGATGGTCAGGTTCCTCTTGTATCCATCCATTCTCACTTGACAAAGTTGTCAAAGGTGTTTTATGTACTAAAATACCGCTGTGTTGCAGTGTCTGACAGACACTGTAACATCTCTAATGCTTTTGCTCACTCTTCTGTACTCTACTGAAGAAGCCTACTGTACTCACCTAATGGTTCTCACCTAATTGTGGTTGCAGGGGTCGAGGCTCAGCTACTGGCCCCGCCTCTTCACCGGTCACTACCAGGTGTAAGCGAAACGTGTCGGAATAAAGATACCTAAGTGTTGGACATATGTCTTATCAAGCTGTTACTGCTGACTGAACGTAGTCCAACGTACCAGCCACAACCTGGTTGGTCAGATAATGACCAAGACATTTATTAAGAAAACGTTTCCACACAAGTGACTGAAGTAGCCACTTGGGGCGAAACGTTTCTTTAATAAATGTCTTGATCAGTACATACAAGCATTTTACCTACTAGAGCTGTTATCAGGTCATGACTTGATAAAGTGAAATAGTGTCCAGATAAAAACTATAGCACGAGATGTTATGGGTTTTCTGAAGGTACAACTAAATGTA